CAAAAAATTAAAAAGGATTATCCATGGCTTGTATTAGTTCCAGGTGCTCTTTACGAAGAGATGAATATGTTAAGTGCATTTGTCAAATTAAATTGGAATATCGACATGAAAAATTTTGCTCAGTGTCAAGGGTATCAAAATGAAAATCAACTTCGATTTTTTAAAAATTGTGCAGACCATCACAAATCATGGGATTCAGTATGCAATATATATAGACATGCGATGGCTTCTGAATTAATGTGGCCATATATTGTTTCTGAGCAAAATCCTTCAGTTGAAGGCTATTTAAGATGGGCCCAAAACCAAATAGATCCCATATTTAAGTTAAAATATGAGTAAATTTTTTTTTATTTACAAGCTATTATTAATATTCGCACTGGAGTTCGTTTTAATAGACCTTCATTAAGACATGCGGCAAGACGAATGTTTGCACCCATTTGGTCTGCTTGACAACATCTAATTTAGCGACTAATTGAAATTGCTGATGAAGAACAAATGTTACGATTAGAGCCTGGCATTTACAAGTTAATTCAGGAAAGAATTATGACTTCACAATTCAAGCTTTCAAATCAGCATCAAGGTCACGATGCAATACTTGAAGAAATTAATAAGGTGCTCAAATCTTTAATTCCACCTATACCCTCACAACGGCATTGGGAAATTGCAGCACATAATTGTACTAAATTTTTGAAATTACGTACTAACCTTTTTAAGATAATAGGATACTCTGAAAAAGAAACTTCTGGTCCTCATATACGTCCTGGCTTTACCGCTGAATCATGTCGATTTCAGGTTCAGATAAGAAAAATCCAATTTGTAAACCCGAATGCTGATAATCGTATTTTTCAAAATATAAGTGGAGAATGGATGCTAAGTGAAGAAATGAAAAGATTTAGTGAAATTGCACGTATGAAAAGAATTGAATTTATTAATGCGAAATTAATCAACAAAACATCATTAGGCGGTTGGCATCCAATTCCAGTAACACAAGAAGAGGCAGATCGTTAGAAGGATGAGAATTCTTTAACTAAATCACAAATTTTATCTATTATTAACTCTTTAACTCCTCTTTTAGGTGATTTGGATCGATCGCGTTTTTGTGGTTTATCAAGTAAATTTCATGACGACTTAATGAATATTCTTCGAGAGATAAGAAATATATTGTCTGAAAATAGTACTAATAGTAATAAAGAATAAAAATATGTACTTTTAAATATTGTTAATTTAATAAAAGTTTTTTTTATTGTATAATTTAAAAATTCAGTTTAGATTAATTATTTTGGGAATGATGTAAATATTATTTAATCATTAATATATAACTACAGGATAACTATGGGATATTTTTAATATTCAATGCAGTAATATATTATTTTCAAATGACTGTTGATTAAAAATTGGCATACATGAATTCAAATTTGATGCAATAAAAATTTTTGTTTATTATCTACTTTACATGATTTGATTACTCTTAATTTTTTCACTTCAGACCTTTGAAAGAAATTAATAGCTACCATAAAAAAATTGTTTAATTTGGTGTAAATGTTGTAAGTGGGAATGGAACCATAATAGGGTTCGAAATCCACTTAGATTTGAACAGAATAATTATACTAAAAATCTCAACCCTAACCTTAAAAATTCCGAATCAACTTAAATTCTATTCCAACCTATGATATAAATACGTCTCTAGTTGAGCAAAGTAGACCATTCAAGTTACAAGAACTGATATACATAAATTACAACAAATTCAGTTTTAAAAAGATCAAAGGTAACAAAATTACAAAAAAAAAAAAAAACAGAATTATTATCGGGACGATTCAAAGAAACATGTTCCTGAAAGCGCATCTGCAAAAACTTTTCCTCCACCTCATCCAAGGTTATTATTATTGGAAAGTTAGCATAGTGCTGTAGTGTTCTTGCAAGGTACCTTTATTAATGTTTTTTCTGGGGAGGTTAAGAAACCAACGTGGTGTTCTTGTAGAGTGCATCTGTAAATGCCAACTCTGATTGAACAAGGTAGGCTATCCAACTTACAAGTCCCAGTATAACATAAAAAATTTACAAAAATTCAGTTTTCAAAACTGATCCGATGTAATAAAATTACAAAAAAATTAGAGTTATTACTGGAGTAATCCAATC